TACAGAGTCACGCTACAACTAGCAGTCGAGCTTAAAGTTGATATTATTGCAGTCTAAGAGCCATGGATTGCCCCATTAAGCAACAACAACTACTCAGCAGCTAGGTCAGTTGCCCACCAAGCATTTACCCAGCTGCTCCCACTAGCAGATAACAGTCTCCGCCCAAGGGTTCTATTTTATATATCTAGAACAGCAAAGGCAGAGACATCTCTACTAGAGGGACTAGCAGCTGACCCAGACGCTATAGCAGTAGTTGTTAAAGGGCAGAGCTTTAAGTTTAATATTGTAAACGTGTACAACGAAAAAGGTCCACTAGGGACTAAGACGTTCCCAAGAGTCCTCCTAAGCACTAGGCTACCAGCAGCAACAATACTAGCTATTGACGCTAACGAGCATCACCCCTGGTGGGATCCGCTATGCCCAACCACCAGCCAAGGCGCTCAAGAGCTAGCCGACTGGATAGAGGACCAAAACCTAAGCCTACTCAACACCCCAGGTGCTAGGACCTTCTTTAGGCCGCACCTATCAAGAGAGCCAGTATTAGACCTATCACTTGCCACGCCAGACATAGCCAACAAAGTTAAAGACTGGCAAGTTACTACAGAAACTGGCTCAGACCACTACGGGCTGCTCTTCTCTATCCAAACAACAATAGAACTAGTAGACAACCCAGCAGCCCAGCAAAAGTACAACACAAAAAGGGCTAACTAGCTGCTATTTCAAGAAGAACTAGCAACAGCAATCTAAGGCAACGCAATACTACAGAGCCTAGACTAGATCAATAACCCAAGGAAAGCAGACTCAAGAAATCTACTCCTAGGCCAAGACCAATAGCTAAAGCTACAACTAGAAGCAATTGGAGAAGCAATTACTCTAGTAATACAACAAGCTGCAGATAAAGCTATCCCACAGCTAAGGCAAGGACCAAAGCCTAAGCTATGGTGGAGCCAGGAGCTTACCAAGCTAAGAAGAGACGTGTCCTATTACTAAAGGATATTCTCGCAAAAGCTAAAAGAGACTTCTATGCAAGAAGCTTACCTATATAAGAAGGACTTTCTAGCAGCGCGAAACACCTACTAAAGGGCCATTAAAGAGGCAAAAAAGAAACACTAGAACGATTTTCTAGAGAGAGAAGATCCATAGTCTATCTTTAAAGCAATGGCATATACAAAGGAGCAGCGAGTAGAGAGAATACCTCCTATACAAGGAGAGGCCCTAGAGACTACGTTTAAAGGAAAGTGCAGAGCCTTTAGAAAGGCGCTTTTCCCTCCGCCTCCAACTACCCAGCCGCCTAGCTTCTCGAGCTACAGCGAAGGAAAGTGGGAGTGGCCAATACTATCAATAACTAAACTAGAACAGGCCTGTTCTAGCAAAGTTAAAAGTAGTACACCAGGCCTAGATGCTATTACTCAAGACATCATTACCGCCGCCTTTTAAGCCCAACCAAAGACGCTATTTAAAGCTTACTCTCTACTATTTAACTATGGATACCATCCAACCTGCTGGAAAAGAGCTACAGGGGCAATACTTAAGAAACTGTCTAAGCCAGACTATTCTCTCCCAAAGGCCTATAGAGTTATCACACTCTTAAGCGGCCTAGGAAAAGTTATAGAGAGAATTATAGCTAAACGGCTAAGCTGCCTAGCAGAAGTTACAAACCTACTCTACAATTCGCAGATAGGAGGCAGGCTAAAGAAGTCAGCAATAGACGCAGCCCTACTACTAGTAGACCAAGTCTAGCACCAGAAGCAGCGAGGATACGTTACCTCCATAGTCTTCTTAGACGTTAAAGGAGCTTTTGACCACGTATCTCACAACCAATTCCTCCAAACGCTAAGAAAGCTAGGCCTCCCAATTAGCCTAATTGCCTAGGCCAAATCCTTTCTCTTAGAGAGGTCTCTAAGACTCGCCTTTGATGGAAAGATGGAAGAATTTAGTAGTATTAACGCTGGCATCCCACAAGGCAGCCCAGTCTCACCAATCTTCTTTCTTATCTACATTAGAGACCTCTTCCTAGAAGTCCAGAACTTCCAGCTATCATACATCGACGATCTCTCTATTACAGCTTCCTCTACTTCACTAAAGAAGAACGCTAAAGTACTAGAGAGAGAAATTCAAAAACTATTTGCTAAAGGCAAAGAGTTAGCAATCAAGTTTGATGCGGCAAAAACAGAGTTTATCCACTTTACCGCTAAGAAGAAGAGAAAAGAAAT